TTAAAAAAAAAAAAAAAAAAAAGAGAAAGCTCAGTGAGGGGGTGCCTGGGTGGCTCAGATGGTTAAGTGTCTGCCTTCGGCTCCAGTCGTGATCCCAGGATCGTGGGATCGAGTCCCGCATCGGGCTCCCTGCTCAGCGGAGAGCCTGTTTCTCCCTCTCCCTCTGCTGCTCTCCCTGCTTGTGCACTCTCACTCTCTCTGTCAAATAAATAAAATCTTTAAAAAAAAAAAAAAAAGAGGAAGCTCAGTGAGAATCTTCATATTTTATCAGGCACTTGGCAAGATTTCCTATTTTCATATGAAAATCAAATTAGCCTATCATGAAGAACAATAGTAAAGGCAAAAGAAAGGAGAAGGAGGGGCGCCTGGGTGGCTTAGATGGTTAAGCGTCTGCCTTCACTCAGGTCATGATCCCAGAGTCCAGGGATCGAGTCCCACATCGGGCTCCTGGCTCAGCAGGGAGCCTGCTTCTCCCTCTGCCTCTCCCCCTGCTCATGCTCTCTCTCTCTCTGTATCTGTGTCTCAAATGAATAAATAAAATCTTAAAAAAAAAAAAAAGAAAGAAAGGAGAAGGAAAGGGAAGGATGAAGGAAACCCTGCATTCTCCCAAAACCAGATGACATGAGGATATAACCAATGAGGTGTGGTTTCAGCACCAGTGAAAGGGAATGCAGACTTGAGTGTTCTGTACCTTAAGTTCACATACAAAGATGAGAGACAAGGCATCATTGAGATAGAGGAGTTGTGTGGTCAGTTCTTATATGTAGTTCAAATTGCCTGCTTGTTTCATGTTTTGGTTATATTTTTAATGATAACCAAGCTTCCTTATGGGGCCTTCCATCTCAAAGGGGTGCACGCATGCACATGCTTATGATATAAAATAGGTAAATAAATAAGATAAAGTATCTGAGATAAATCACTTGAGATAAGTCAAAGTATCTTCAAAACAGAGATATGCATCATATTTTGGCCCAGAGTTGTGGCTTCGGTCCAGTATTCCCGACATGAGTATTTTACACAGACACAGACACACACACACGCACGCACACACACACACGCACGCAGGCACGCTAATTTTCTCCAACACCAGTAATCATTTGCATTACAGACACCACAGTCCATTTAAACATTAAAGAGAGGGTATGAGTTCAACAATCTTGTCCACACATTTTCTGAATTAGATGAAAGAGGAAGGGTGTGTCTGGGTGTGTTCAAAATTTTAGGAGCTGCTTAGCCAAACTGTGGAAAGAGCCAAGATGTCCATCGACAGATGAATGGATAAAGAAGATGTGGTATATATACACCATGGAATATTATGCAGCCATCAAAAGGAATGAGATCTTGCCATTTGCAACGACGTGGATGGAACTGGAGGGTGTTATGCTGAGTGAAATAAGTCAATCAGAGAAAGACATGTATCACATGACCTCACTGATATGAGGAATTCTTAATCTCAGGAAACAAACTGAGTGTTACTGGAGTGGTTGGGGGTGGGGGGGATGGGATGGCTGGGTGATAGACATTGGGGAGGGTATGTGCTATGGTGAGCGCTGTGAATTGTGCAAGACTGTTGAATCACAGATCTGTACTTCTGAAACAAATAACGCAACATATTTTAAGAAAAAAGGAAAAGAAGAAGATAACAGGAGAGGAAGAAAAGGGGAGTATGTCAGAGGGGGAGACGAACCATGAGAGATGATGGACTCTGAAAAACAAACTGAGGGTTCTAGAGGGTAGGGGGGTGGGGGGATGGGTTAGCCTGGTGATGGGTATTGAGGAGGGCACGTTTTGCATGGTGCACTGGGTGTTATGAACAAACAATGAATCATGGAACACTGCATCAAAAACTAATGATGTAATATATGGTGATTAACATAACAATAAAAAAATTAAAAAAAAATTTTAGGAGCTGCTTGAGATAGCAGTTTAAAACAGGCTGTAGTCCTACTCCTTTGGCTTTTTTTTTTCCTTAAGATTTTATTTATTCATCTGAGGGAGAGAGTGAGAGAGAGAGAGAGCACGAGATGGGGAGAGGGTCAGAGGGAGAAGCAGATGCCCCGCTGAGCAGGGAGCCCTGCGCGGGCTCCAGAATCATGACCTGAGCTAAAAGGCAGCAGTTTAATGGCTTCACCGACTGAATCACCCAGGCGCCCCCCCATTCCTTTGGCTTTAATGAAACTCTGCTGTCACCTCATGTTCTACATGGTATTTTAGCCCAAATGTCATGCTCAGATCCTCTGTCTTGTTGAGTGGTGGAGATGTTTGTGGCTTATTCCAAAGGAATTTCAAAAACTGAATCAGAAATATTTCTAGGATATACGCACTCTGAAGTGTTTCTATAACTTCCACTCTGGAATCATGCTTCTGGGTCAAACGGACTTGAGAAGTAAAACTAAGAGCTCGTTTCTTGAAAAGAGCAATAATGCTTTGGCATGACATATTAAGGAGGCTGGGGGTGGAGAGTAAGAGAAAACAAACTATATTAAGAGAAGGCAGTGAAGGGGCACCTGGGTGGCTCAGTCGGTTAAGCGACTGCCTTCAGCTCAGGTCATGATCCCAGGGTCCTGGGATCGAGCCCCACATCGGGCTCCCTGCTCAGCGGGGAGTCTGCTTCTCCCTCTCCCTCTGCCTCTCTCCCTGCTTGTGCTCTCTCTCGCTGTCTCTGTCACTATCTGTCTGTCTCTCTCTATCAAATAAATAAATAAAATCGTTAAAAATTTTTAAAAAAGAGAGAAGGCAGTGAAGAAATAAAAACAAGGAGGTAAAGGAGCAGGGGGAGGAGAGAAGAAAAAAGGCAGATGAAGAGAAAAGCCCTGTGAGAACCCAGGCCACTTGTTCACCCCAGCCTGCCCCACTCAACCTTTCCTGTCTCACCTCCTGCTACTCCCTCTTCCCCTCACTCCCTCTACCCCAGTTCCTCTGGCCTCAAATACACCACACACGCACCCCTCAGATCCTTGCGCTTTCCTTAGCAGGAAATGCCCTTCCCTAAGAGAGCTCCTTCTATTCACTCTGATGTGTCCTGACCAATGAGCCCTACCCCTGACATTTAAATGGCAACCTCCATGTCCAGCACCCTTTCTCTCCCTCTTCCCTGCTGGTTTTCTCACTAGCAATGATCATTGTCTAAAATGCTATATAATTTTATTCACTTATTTATGTTATTATGTGTCTCCCCACCCCACCCACCCCAGTAGAAATAGAAGCACCATGAGGACTGGGAATTTTGTCCCTATTTTCATTGCTCTATCCCCACCACCTCAAAGAGTGTCTGCAAATAAACCAGTATTGGATGAATGAATAGATGAGAATGGGAAAGCCCAGTTTGCTTGAAAATTACCACCAGTCTGGTCTTGCCCTTTCTTTCCAAAGCCAGCTAAGAAGCTACATCTTCCATGAGAAAATGACAATCAAAAGTTGGGGGCGGAGCTAAAAGCCCCAGTGAATTCTTTGGGCCAACAGGGGAATGTGTGGATAACGGTGAGGGCATAGAAGGTGTTATGGACTGAATGTTTGTGTCCCCCTGAAATTCATATGTAGAAGCCCTACCCCCCAGAGTGGCTGCACTTAGAGATAGGGCCTACAAGGACGTAAAGTTAAATGAGTCATAAGGATGGAGCCCTAACCCAACAGGATTAGTGTCCTTATAAGAAGAAACACCGGCGAGCTTGCTTGCTCGCTCCCTCCATGCACACTCAGAGGAAAGGCCACATGAGAACACGTGGAGAAGGCAGCCACCTACAAATCAGGAAGAGAGTCGTCACCAGGAACCAAATCTGCTGGCACCTTGATCTGGGACTTCTCAGCCTGCAGAACCATGAGAAAGTCAATTGCCATTAAGTCACCCAGACTGGGGTATTTTCTTATGGCAGCCCGAGCTAACTGACGGGGAAAAGAAGAGTCCTGAACTGAGGCATGAGGGGACTAAAGATAAACTTTGCCCTCTGAAAACATGGTTCAGATTCTGTCAGCCCCAACCACCTCTGTCCTTGCAGATCCTGCCCGGCCATCTGTCACATGGTCCTGTAGGCTAGAAATGCCCACACACGTAGTTGTGAAGAAGGGACCCATAGACTGAAACATTAGTCATGTGATACCAATTTTATAGATATCCATATATAGAGATAGCTGATTTTTTTTAATAGTGTGCAGATGACTTTTTTTTTTTTTTTGAATAGTGTGCAGATGACATATATTCATATCACTGTAGCTGGTACTGGAATTTCTCCTCGATAAAACTTTGCTTGCCAACCCTACATTCAGCCTGGGATGTCACTCAGGTGCCACAAATTTAGATTTTTGATTAGAGGCCAGTTTTAAAACCTGTGAGAAGAGAGCGTTCAGCTAAAAGCCCCCAATACCTAGCACATGCGATGCTCCAGGCCATTACCACATGGTTCTGGAGCTCGAGGTCTCCTGAGCAAAAACATGAAGAATGGCTGCCATACAATTACAGGAAAACTCTCATGAGTTCTGCCCTGGCCCAGAACCACTGTCACAAGCCTGTAGGCTCAGAGCCAAAAAGCCCACTTCTGAGCATGGCTAAGGAAAAAGGACAGCCTCAACACAAAACTCCAATCTTGCGACAAAAAGTTCTCAGAGACTGCCCTGATTCTGATAGCATTGTGGCAAATATTGTTAAGTAAGTGCACCTCTGGATGAAGCTGGCAGGGGGCAGGGGAAATGTGAAGGAGGAGACTGGCAGATTGAGAGAGATTCTGGCTTATGTTCGATTTCTCTCATCAGCAGCAAAGCCATTTCTTTTTCCATCCACCTGCTGGTGGCAGGGGACCCCCATCTACATCTGCAGGAACATTTCCCCGAGACACACCACATCTTTAAACTGTGGTGCCCAAGCCCATGATCCTGGGGCCTGCCCTGGTGCTTCCACTGGGCCACACGAGGAACCACTCTGTTCTTATCTAGTACCATCTTTATTCAAAAGTTTCAGGCCTCAGGCTCACTCCGTTGGGTATAGTTGTACCCCATCTCTCCCTACCACCACTCCCTTTGAGTTAGTCAAAATACAGAATCGACTGTAAGCCCTAAGTATTATCTAAAAGTTGTACAGTTCTGTGAAGAAGGCAAAGAGGGATAAGTATATTTATAGCAGAATATTCTCTCCGTTCACATGAATATAGTCATATAGTTATACCTGTTTCTGTGATTATAGAGAATGATGTAGAAGGATCTACCTCAAGTTGTTAATGTGAGTTACCTGGAGTTACCAATTGTGCCATATTTTTCTTGTCCCCAGAACTTAATCTTTCTCTCATTTTTTTCTTTCTCCTGCCCAACCACCCCACCTTGCAGCTCTGCCTCCCTCCCCAACTTCCTGTCCACTCTCCCCACAGTAGTTCAGAGCCTTAACATATGACTTGTGCCTAGACCTGCAGGAATTTTTTTTTAAGATTTTATTTATTCATTTGAGACACAGAGATACAGAGGGAGAGAGAGCATGAGCAGGGGGAGAGGCAGAGGGAGAGGGAGAAGCAGGCTCAGCCAGGAGCCCTATGTGGGGCTCGATCCCAGGACTCTGGGATCATGGAAGGCAGACGCTGAACCATCTGAGCCACCCAGGCGCCCCTGCAGGAATGTTTCTGAAGCCAAGTGGCTGGCTGCTCTTCTCTTACCTGCTACATCCCCATTAATGCCTCTAAGGTAATGATTCGATCCATCGGATCTCTCACCTACTTTAAAAATCCAGATCTCCGCATTGACTGTTGAGTAACCTCCAATCCAGACACACTAGTATTCAAGGGCCTTCATTATATAGATTCTAACTACTCCAACTTTATCCCCTACTGATCCCATACAGCCAGCCAGGAGCTCACATTTAGAAAGATGTACACAATGATTTTCTACCAGCATGTCTTTGCTGATTCTTGGAATACTCCTCTCCATCTCTCCCTATGGAAATTCTACCCATCCTTTGAAGTTCATTTCAGATGCTGCTACCCACTAACCAAATGTGCTCTCTCCTTCCTCTGAGTACCCATAGCACTCGGTATGTCTCTGTGGTTCTCACATCATACTCTATACTGTTACAATCGCTTGTGAGCTTCTCTTAATTCACTCTCCTACATTGAAACCTTACCAAAGAAAGAGCCTAACTTAGTTTTCTATGTATCTCATTATCTAATCATCCTTGAGTACTTAATAGTCCTCACCATGTTGGGGTAAATCTACTATCATTTGTGACCTTGGTTTGAGTTTACACCTATCTGCAGAGAAATCAAAAGAGAAGAGGACTGACATTTGTTGAGCAACCCTATGTTCCAGGCAATAAAGTACGTATTTCACGAGTTTTGTTTCACCGTAAAATAAATGAAATATTTATGTAGCTATAGACAATGACAAGTTAAATTATACTAGAAGCTCCGATAAAGCAGTATCATCAACTGACATTTCCACACATACTTATAAACCTAAACATACAAGAAAAATAGCTCCAGAAACAAGTAACTCTTAGACTAAAGCAATTTTAGAACTATTCTGGACTTATTTTTATTCTACAAAAAGAAAATAAACTGTTGTCAAACGAAAATTCTCCTACAAACCTGATTTACACATATAAACTCTTCCCCTAAAGTGCCATATAGCCTCCCCAGAACTTTAATCCTTAAACTTTTGTTTTTAGCATCCCCAATTCTACACAGTCCCTTGAAATAACAAAAGCTTATTTTTTAAAAAAAGAAAAGAAAGCTAATTTTAAGGTTTTAGAAATAGATTATAATTGGAAAAGATGATCTGAAATAAAGATATGTAACTTACCAACAAAGAAGTCAGCAATGGCCAAGTTAAGGAAAAAGTAATTACTTCGACGTCTCAGCTTTTTGTCCACCACAAAAGCTAGAATAACCACAGCATTTCCCAGCATTATAGCAAAAGCTAGTAAGCCCATTAAAAATGCTAGAGTAACGCGGGTGCTTAGTGGCAAAGTAGTTGCCCCCGTGCCGTTAGTGGCTGACATCACATCAAATGATGAAGAAATTAATCCAGCAAGACAATTCTGACAAGTATGTTTTCCAATCGGATACCTAATATATATAGCCTCCTGCTCATAACAGTATTTTTCAAAATCTAATGCTGATTTCACTGTACTTCCTGATTCTTGATAAAGCAAGCTTGTGATAACAGTCTCCCTTTAACTGACACTGAAAAAGTATTTTCCCAAAGCTAGTGAGATGTTCTGTTGTAAACATTTGAATGTGATTTAACCATCCCCCCTTAACAGAGCAATATTACATAATATATGTGAAACATAATTGATTCAGTGGGAAGGTAAGAAATTGGGCTCCCATGAGATTTATTTTTTCAGCTGTTAGAGATCTAGTTAAAGATTCCCTTCTGACCATGATGCAGTACCACAGGCTGAATTCACCATCCCATCTGACACAAACAAAAAACTGGACAGACTATTTGAAACAATGGTTTTCAAGGCACCGGACATCAGGCAGTGAAGGACAGTGATCCCTGAGTAAAGGGGAGAAAATGAGGTCAGCTCTGCAGTTGTCCCTGCTTACTGTCTTTTGTGAGTTTCCAGGACACGGAGCAGAGAGTGGGCATGAAGCTGAGAGTTGGGGAGTACTAGACAGGACTCTGCTGCAGAGCTGCTATGTAATACACGTATTTTAACTGTACATAAGCTGGAGGTCTTGCGTGTAAGGTGGTGCTTGTGATTGTTTTAAAAATGTAGCTGATAAAAATAAAATACACATTACACAGATTTCACTTAAGGTTGATTTGATTATTTTTCATTCATGGCATGCAAATTAATGATAATGATCTTTTTAAAAACTCGAATAATTGTCCCCATTTGTCACTCTCCCTAATCTTTATTCTCCTTTGCATTCGCTCATTATTAATTCACTAACAAGAGGCATTGGGAATTTTTACATTCTTTCCAAAGTTACAAAGTCCCTTTCCAAACTAGCCAGTTTTTATGCTCAGTCAACTTTGAAGGCCTTTCTATTAAAAAAGCAAGGCAGCCCTGGTATAATGTAATTTCTTGATTCCAGTCTCTAAACTGGAGGCGCTAGAGAGCATTCAGTGTGAAAGGGGAAGGAAAGAAAGGCTGATAAATACATTGCTGACTGGGTCTGTAGCAGAAGATAAGGTACAAAAGTAAACAAGATGACTGTAAGCAGGACAGTTAAGATTGTGAAGGGGCACTGAGTGGGTTGGCCCAGAAGGTAAACAAGGATTTATTTTATGGACGGAGCATGATAATCTGGACTATTTTTTTTTTTTTTTTTTGTAATTTCATGTGGGAAGAGCAAGCAATCCAACAGAATTGGAGGTCTTGCCTTGTGGTCTTAGGTTGTGGGGAATTGCCTTCACAAAAGGGAACTGCCAGGTGGGTAACATTTGGGAAAAAGAAGAATGACAAATCATGTTGGGCTACATTTCATTCTCTTACCTTGTGTGAACATAGAGTGGACTAAGTGTGTAGCTCAGAATTCCATGCCAGCTACTCTATTTGAATTTATTTAAATTTACTGGTGTCAAGTTGCTATAATTTATGTGTCAGGGCACTTCCTTTTCTATCACTCCTGATGTATGTCTAACTATTCTTTTTTAAGTATTTATGATACTTTAAAAATTCAAGTTCTGTAAATAAACATAAATATAAAAAATAAATCCTGGGGCACCTGGGGGCTCCGTCAGTTAAGTGACTGACTTGGTTTTGGCTTGGGTCATGATCTTGGGGTCGTGAAATCGAGTCCTACATCAGGTTCCACACTTAGCGCAGTCTGCTTGGGACTCTCTCTTCCTCTTGCTCTGCCCCTCCCCCCGCTCGCTCGCTCTCTAAAATAAATAAATAAATAAATCTTTAAAAGATAAATAAATAAATCCTATCAACTGTCTATTATCAGTAATCTTCATAGGTGAGTTCACCATTCAGTAGAACCTATTCACAAAGACTGTTTGATAATCATGGACTTTAACATTCAAAGAGTCATAAGTAAGCCTTTTTAATCAAGATTGTTAAACATCTAGAGGCTTTTATATATCAATTAGCAATTTGCTATTAAATAATGAATTTAAAGAACTTATTTTAGTGGACTGTGACCAGTGGTCCAAGGCCTTTTGGCATTATTAAATCCTTTAACTTAATCCATTAATTATGCTCATATAACTAAGAACAGAAATAAATATCACCCTGCCTCCTCTAGTGACTGTGAAGACATGCACATATAAGGCAATTGAACGATGAATTACAAACTCATCTTGCTAATGTCAAGAGGCACACAGCAAGAGACTTAACTTTACCCAGCTGAACTCTGCATGCAGGTCCCCAACAGGTCCCCTCTCCTTTAACAAACAAGAGGCTAAAACCATCACCATGCAGAGGTTTTCTAGCAGCTTTAAATTTAGGGATGAAGAGGAAGTAGGAGGACCAGGCTCTTTTCTATCTGAAGCTATTCTGCATTTTCAGTTGGGTTGTTTGTTGTTGAGTTTTAAGACTTCTTTATGGGGGCGCCTGGGTGGCTCAGTCATTAAGCGTCTGCCTTCGGCTCAGGTCATGATCCCAGGGTCCTGGGATCAAGCCCCGCATCGGGCTCCCTACTCGGCAGGAAGCCAGCTTCTCCCTCTCCCACTCCCCCTGCTTGTGTTCCCTCTGTCACTGTGTCTCTCTCCGTCAAATAAATAAATAAAATCTTTACAAAAAAAAAGACTTCTTTATGTATTCTAGATACTAGACCCTTATCGGATACAATTTGCAAACATTTACTCCCATTCTGTGTGTTGTTTTTACTTTCTTAATAATGTCCTTTGAAGCATAGAAGTTTTTAATTTTGATGAATTCCTTATTTATTATTTTTAATTGCTTATGCCTTCAGTGTCACATCTAAGAAACCATTATCTAATCCAAGGTCATGAAGATTTACTAGTATATTTTCTTCTATAAATTTTATAGTTTTAGCTCTCAAATTTAGGTCTTTGATACATTTGAGCCAATTTTCATATATGGTGTGAGGTAAGGGTGCAACTTCATTGTTTTGCATGTGGATATCAAGTTGACACTATTTGTTGGAAAGGCTACTTTTTACCCATTGAATTGCCTTGGAATCCTTGTAGAAAATCAACTGACCATAAATATATGGGTTTATTTCTTGATTCTCAATTCTAGTTCATTGATCTTTATGTCTGTTCTTATGCAAGTACCATACTCTTATTTTCCATTCAGTTTAACAATATCTTTCTATCTTAAACATCAAATAAAGTATATGTCAAGCTTGTGATATAGGAATGTAAGGTTTAAGACATGAAATCATTTAAATTCAAGACATAAAATCATTAGGGAAGCCAATATTAAAAAGAAAACTCACCAGCACTTAAGATCAATATTAAATCACATTTTAGCATTCATACAATGTAGATTCATTTAAGCTCTTCTAAAAATTAAAAAAAAAAAGCACAACAGCATAATTGGCAGATGACAGAGCTGAACAGCGTGATTTTTCACAGTCTTAAGTATAGAATTTCATTTAAAATCTGGTCATTATGATTATATGTAAACAAGTTAGGGAACATAAGCAAACATGGTCTTAGAACTTCTGATTCCACATGTAAGCAGCTTGGAATTCACTACTCCACCCTACTAAGTAAAAAGCAGACCAAACTGAAAAATCCACTCTTCTTGGATGCATAAGAGAGGGAGGGACACAGGGCAAACTGCTGTCCTCAAGATTGGAAAGACAGACAAGCAAATACACAGAGTGATGAGTTATCAGAGCAGGAAGTCTGAAAACAGAAAACACTAAGAAACTGGTGCCAGGGTAAGAAAACCTGAACTGTAATTGACGAATCGCTAGAGGACCAGTGCAGACAACTCAGAGTTTAAAATTCCAAGGGGATCCAGTCATAGGGAGAGCCCCACAATACTGTGAGATTCATTTCCAAGAGCTTGACCAAGTTCCCAGGGTATTCATCAGAAAAATTCCCTCATACTTCCAGCAAGGGGAAGGAAAAAAGAACCATTTTGAAATATGCCAGAGCACTCTGTTCTGAATGAGGCTTGCCCTCAGGGGAAACTAGTTAACCAGAGCCTAACCTGCTGGGGTTAGATCAGAGCCTAACAGATCTAGGGGAACAGAAACACCCAACTCCAGCCCACTCTGGCCATCCTGTCCCCCGCTAAGGGAAGAGAGTAAGAAATATTTGTGCAGTTCACAGTCCAGAGGCATGGGCTCACTGAAAGACCAAGACATAATCCTAGGACTATAGAATGCTTCGCCTCTCCCGACACCTCAATACCACACCACTAAAGTCCTATTTACAGCAGTTCTTTTTACCCAGTACATCATATCTGGCTATCAAAAAAAATTACAAGGCATACCAAAAGGCAAAAAATCATCTGAAGAGTTGGAGCAAGCATCAAAACCAAACATGGCGGGGATGATGGAATTATCAGACAGGGAATTTAAAACAACTATAATGAATATGCTAAGGGCTCTAATGGATAACATAAGCAGCATCCAAGAATGGAGGAGCAAACACTAACTTGAGAAGATATATGTACCTCTGTGTTCGTTGCAGCATTATTTACAATAGCCAAGATATGGAAACAATCTAGGTGTCCATTGATGGATGAATGAAAAAGAAAATGTGGTGTATATACATACATAAAATGGAATATCATTCAGCCATAAAAAGAATGAAATCTTATTTGCAAATGACATATCAGATAAAGGGCTAGTATCCAAAATCTACAAAGAACTTATCAAACTCAACACCCAAAGAACAAATAATCCAATCAAGAAGTGGGCAGAAGACATGAACAGACATTTCTGCAAAGAAGACATCCAAATGGCCAACAGACACATGAAAAAGTGCTCAACATCACTTGGCATCAGGGAAATACAAATCAGAACCTAAAAGGGATACCACCTCACACCAGTCAGAATGGCTAAAATTAACAAGCCAGGAAATGACAGATGTTGACGGGGATGTGGAGAAAGGGGAAACCTCTTACACTGGTTGTGGGAATGCAAGCTGGTGCAGCTACTCTGGAAAACAGTATGGAGGTTCCTCAAAAAAGTTGAAAATAAAGTTACCCTACGATCCAGCAATTGCACTACTGGTATT